TGGTGTTTGCGTGTTGTGTGTGTGATGTGTGCTGTGTGTATATGTGTGTGTGTGTGGTGTGTGTAGATGGTGTGGTGTGTGTGTGTGTGTGGTGGTGTGTGTGTTGTGGTGTGTGTGTTGATAGTGGTGTGGTAGTGTGTATGCTGTGTGTTGTATATATATAATATGATGCTGGTGTGTGGATGTGTGTGTGTGTGTTGTGTGTGTGTGTGTGTGGTGTGTGCTCGTGTGTATGTGTGTGTGGTGTGTGTGTACGTGGTGATAGTGCGTAGTTTGGTGCTGTATGTGTGTGTGGTGTAATAATGGATGTTGTGTGTGTGTGTGTGTGTGGTTGTGTGGTGTACGGTGTGTGTGTGTGTGTTGGATTGTGGTGTGGTGGTGTGTGTGTGGTGTGGTGTGTGTAGTGTGGGTGTGTGTGTGTGGTGTGCGTCGTTGTGTGGTGTGTGTGCTGTGTGTGTCGTGTGTGTGTGTGTTGGTGTGGTGTGTGTGGTGTGTCGCTGTGTGTGTGGTGTGTGTGTCCGTGTGTGAATGTGTAGTGGATCGTGCTGGCGTAGTGTGGTGTGTGAATGTGTGTCGTGTACATGGGTGCTAGGCTCGACTGTAGTTATGTGTGTGTAATGGTGTGTGGTAGATACTCGTACTAAGTTAAGCATGTAATAGTATATAGACTATCGAGACGGCACTGGAATATCACTAGTATATTAGTCTATATAATATAATATATACTGTATATTATATATGTGTGTGGTGTGTGTGTGGGTGTGATGTGTGGTAGATGTGTGTGTATGATAATATAGTATGTATATGATATTATTATATAATATATAATATATATAGTATAGGTATATATTATATATATATATATATATTATATATTATGAGTAATAGCGTATAACGTGTATGTCAATGATTAAGTGTGATATATATCGTGCTGAATGATATGATATATAAACATAGTAGTGACAGTAGTAGAATTTACTAGTTTATCGAATAGATGTAATATATCATAACTTACGTGCTCATGGTAGTCTACATAACGTCTATACCTATCTGAGATGATATTATATATGTGTGCTAAGTAGGTGGATATACCGCCGGAGCGCGCGGTATACCGCATGGTTCGATATATAATAGTCACCTGGGTAGACATTTAGACTATTAAGTTCGGCGCTTAAGAGCTCAGACCTCATTATAACGTATAATAGAGTAGTCGTAGCACTGATTATGTATCGAATAGTAGTATGGATTCATATCGGCTAGTACTCGAATGTATTCCATATGATACTATATGAGGTATCATAGTAGCATAATGATCGATAAATACATAATTATGATGGAATCGAGTATCTACATATATGGGTACTTATCACTGTATGATATATATTAATGTATAATATATAATAATATACTATAATTCGACTGTATTCAGATAAGATTGTAACTATGATAATTGTATAATATCTATATACTGATACGTTCTGATATCAGCTATTTATATATTTATGATATAGAGTATAGTGCAACTATGTATATACTTAGCATATACTATATATACAGTATATTATGAGAATTATGATACGGCACGTAGTATAGATATGGTTTGAGGTATATAATAGTAGTAATTATATTCCGGAGGTATAATAGTATAGATACATATATATATGAGTGTAAATACTGACTGTACGATATCGTATGATGTATATATATGTAGAACCATATAGTTAATACGAGTATAAATTTATGATTGACAGTATAATGCTAATCGATAAGATATTTGATACTTTATATACCAATATTATGATAATCACTATATTACATATAACTATTATATATATATGATATTATAGTTACTACTGGGTATAATGTATATGGTGTGTATACATGTACTATGTATCATTATTGTCGTATGTGTATGTGTTACTGTATGTTGATATCTAATCGTTATATATCATATAGTGAGTATGTATAGCTATATAATTGCTTAATATATGAATATGATATAAAGTATCTACGATTCGACATGCTACTCATTAGATATTGAGTAGTATGACGCTGATGTATACTTAATAACTGATGTTAGAGTATATAAGTATATAACATAATCGATAGTATAAGTTGGATAATACTGTATGATATATAAACATACAATGGTACTGCGAGATCCTATTACCCTATCAGGCTATATAGGATGACTATAAGCTTCGTAATATACTAGCTGAGCCCTTGTTAGTAAATGTATAATTTCGTATATTAGTGTATACTCATATTTATATCAATATGTATATGTATTACTAGTAGGTTGGTTATAGTATGGTAGTATTAGCAAGATATTACTATATTTGTGATTTATTTTATATATAGTATATGTATAGTATATCTCTACTATATATACATGATATTACATATATATATTATATATATATATATAGTATATATATTATATATATATAAATATAATGCTATAGTATTATATACAATATATGTATAAATTATTTTACTT